GAGGAGAAGCCAAGCAGGATTGCAAAAGCGATGGCAAAATCTGAGGAGGCTGGCAGCAAGACGCACACAAAAGGAAGGAAGGCAAAAGAATGCAAAGAGGTTGGAGAGGTGAAGGATGACAAGTCAAAAAGGAAAGTCCCAGAAGAAGAGGAGAAGCTAGAGACCGAGGCCAAAGGTAAAGATGCTGCGGCAAAGAAGCCGAGGACTGGCAAACCAGAGGCCACTCCTGAGAACAAGCAGAAGGAGCATCTAGAAGAGAGATCAAAGGAGAACCAGCCTCGAAAAGTCAAGCAGGCAAAGAGGGAGAAGAAGGAAGATAAGCAGGATCCTGAGGAAAAGCGAAAGGGTTCCGAAAGGGAACAACAAACGAATGTCAAAACTCATGAGGAGGATTCAGAGGAGGAGGAAGCACACAGTGGAGAGGAGGTGGCCAGAGAGAAGGAATGGTTGAAAAAGGATCAGCCCAAAAACAACGCGAAGGCAAAGAACAAGGAGAAAGAAGATGAGGAGGAGGCTGAGGAAAAGAACAATGTACCAAAGGGTTCCAAAAGGAGCATCAAACAACACTCGAAGAATGATGATGCTGAGGAGGATGCACAGGAGGAGGAAGAAGAAGAACAGGAAGATGATGAAGCCAAAGCGGAGAAGGAGAAGAAGGCAAAGAATGCTAAAGTTGTAAAGCGGAAGACAACAGAGGCGGTGAAAGAGGACCAGACAGAGAAGGCCAAATTGGCAAAGAACAGGACTAAGGAGAGGAAGGGGGATGCGGAGGACAAGAATGAGACAGGCAAGGGGGATGAGGAGCACAAGAAGAATGACCAGGCAAAGGCACCACGTGCAAAGAAGCAGAAGAAGAGTAACGAGATGCCGGCAGAGGTTGAAGTGAAATCACTCTCAGCAGCTGCCAGAGCACTTGGGCGTCATGAAGTGCTCGCCAAGGCAAAGGCCACACCGAAAGGGAGAAGTTCCAAAAGAAAAGCTGCTGAACATGAAGATGAAGATGAAGACTCAGAAAAGACATTGGTCCTTGGGCAGGCCAGATTGCATGAACACTTACTTGAAGGCTAGTAGAAGTTCTTCCCACCCTGAGTCTCACACTTACTTCAAACCTTGATCCATAATCCCCAACGCCCATGCCTGCAGGTGCCACGAGAGTCAAAGAAGAAGCACAAGGCCATACACCTCAGATTGATACAACAACATCTAGACTGACAACCCAATTCAAAACTAATATTGATCGTTGTATTCAAAGAGAGTCAAAACAATGTCACAGCTTAGATTTATTTGCCATTGTTTGTTCTTTTGTCTTTTCCTGTTGTTCAGGCTGGTGTCATGGGAAGGGTTGGCCTTCGAGACACCTACCACAACCACATCAAGGACGCTTCCGAGCGTTTGAAGAAGGAACACCCGGACAAGACACCTAAAGAGATCTTGGCAATGGCACGCGCGGAGTCCATTACTTAGAACTTGCAAAGCTTATTCCACCTTCCTTCACCGCTCCAATTCTCCTTTCCTTGATTGTTTTCGATACGGCTAGGTGGCGAGCACACCCGGAGAGGGTCTCCTCCATCCAGAACATGTCCAACAGTGAGCGAAGCCGTCGTAGATTGAAAGTGAAGACATCCAACCCGCAGGCTCCGGAAGCTCCTTCCGGGGATGCTTCAGCCTCACGCAACACTGCCCCGGAGGAAGAAGCTCCTGTTGATTCTCCCGCGAGTCCTGCAAAGGAGAGCGATGCTGATGCTGCACGCTCCCCCTCGGACCCGGGCAATGAGAGTAGCTAGGGCACGACACCTGAAAGCAATGGGTGTTTTGGCTTTTGATCAGAACAAACTCTCTTGGCAGCAAACTATTATTGAGTCACATTGAGATAAAGAAGGGTGTACAATTTCACCGATTTTACTTTGTTCTATTTTGTGTTTCGTTTGCCAGGAGATTCAATCGTTAGTGGGGCATGAATCGTACAGCGCTAAATCCTTAGATGGGCAGTGTTTCTTGACACTGCAGTGTGGAGGACGCCAGCCATGATTCGATCTCAGGGAAGAAAACGCTTACCACCTTGTCAGGCCACCAAACAATTTGTTTTCTTAGTGTTAGTGCCCTTCCTGAGTTGCTTGGTCAGGTGGACAATTGGACTATACAATGGCGTGCTCCTGGCATTCTGATACATCTGAGGTCATCCTGGAGGTCACCGAAAACAAGACTGTCGCGGACACCGATCGGTCAACTTGGAGGAAGCTCTTGTGCGAGTTTGAGGATGAGGGACTCACAGATGTGTCCATCAACGGACATGTGCTAGAGACACACAAAGTTTCCACTACGGACTCTGCAGGTCACCTGTCTTCTCATTCATAATGTATCTTCTCGCTCTGTTTTCCGTTCCTTCTTATCATGAATCCTGTTACCAATAGAATGATCTAAGGTGAGCAGTGCTTCCATATTCACCCAAAGGCCAGTTTGTGGTACTTTGCTTGGAGTATGGCAAACATGACTGGATTGAAGTTCTCCTCTGTCGCAAGTGCTTTCCCGGCAAGTGTTCCTAATAATGCAAAAAGGTTCTTTATTTCACCTGTCTCACTGACTACATATTTGCACCATGGTTATGCTACTAAGCTTCTATCCTTCCCAGGCTCTTGAATCCTCAAGAGTCCTCTCCCGCATTTGGCGAGTGGCTTATTTCAAGGAGGCGCAGGTGGCTAGCTTCAACATTGCGGATCTTTGGAGAGACCTCCCATTGATGTCCCAAAGATTGTTGCTTTTCTGCTTTTTGAACATTGACTGTAGAAACACAGTGCCCTCAGGAGATTAAGCCCCGTGCCATGATAGCACTTATTGAAGAAGCATGCTCAGAAAAGAAACAAGAAAACAACTCAGTACTGTGTCTGAAGATTTGATGAACCTTATCTCAGGCAAACCGCTCTATGTGATGAAAAACCAGACTAGCCTGAAAGAAGGCCAAGTGTTACGACTTGTCTGACATCGCAATGCGATGGCTTTGGCATCGCAGTTTTGCCGCTGAAAAAAGACTGAGCCAAATGCAGCTTGGGTAAGATGTATCATAGAATGGAGTTCTTGAGACCTCAACTGCAAATCTTTTGCAGATCCTGTGAGACCCCACAATATAACTAAGGAACCCAAATATAATGTTCTGGGACCCGAATACAAGGAAATCATCTTTTGAGTTGACCTTCTTGTTGAAAGAACCCGCACTCTCGAGTTCCAGCACAAAAGAATCCAAAGCAACCCAAAGCATCCATGCCCTCATACCTGTTATGCGGGTTGATGTGTTTCCTTGATTTTTTCGTTTTCTCGGAGTAGCTGCCCTACGTCCATGCATTGGGTCGGTCAAACATCACCGACCCACATTGGGTCGTTCATGAAGTGTATCGGCCGTAGACAAAAACACGGCCGCACAGTTGAACTTCAGAAAAACTCCGTGTTTGCGGCCGTGAAACTGATCGAACACCAATCGGGATGGAGCGCTCCGATCACCGCGATCCATCCCCGTTCCGGTTGTCGACACTTGTTCGGTTGACCCACCCGGCGTCCCTGGAGTTGTAGGGCACTTCACGCACTTCAGTCCCGGGGGGGGGGTGTTCACCCACCTCTCTGGCGTGAAATAGGTGAACATGATTCCCTCAGAAAGCACCCCAAACAGTTCGGATCGCGGTCCTGTTTGCCATTCCGAGAAGCATCGCGGTCCGCCGGACGACGGAGCCGGACGCGTGCTCCGTCTCGGGTTTGTTTAGTTTTTTTCCAACGTTGAAACTCAGCAGATCGCGGTCCAAGACCACCAACTGTTGCAAAAAGAAATCAAGGATTCAGTACCTATAGATGATATAGAGTATTCCAGTACGACAGGTGACTCGGACTCGAGTAAAAAGTAGATCTCTAAAAAGGTGACTGGGATCACAGTGGCGAAGAACTAAGGACTCAGTACTACTCCTATCATCTCGTATTCTACTGGTTACAATAATAGCAATATGCATTTATTGATTTGCATTTAGTCATGTTCATTAAAACTTTCCACAACAGGTTTTCGCTACACCTTTTGTCTTGCATAACCATCGCCTTTGTCTTCCGTCTTCGCCACCAGGAACTCTCCATCTGCTTGTTCCATGCCAAGTTCGGCGGGCCTTGTTTGTCAGTCGACTTTCAGAACACCCGGCCCACCATGGGCTCTCAAGGAAGCTCAGTGTACGACACTTCGCTTTTGAAGGGATGGACTGATGAGCCCGATCGTCAGGCCGCGACGACGTCCGACGATGTAAAAACGTGGGCCATGGGTGCGGTGCTGAAACCTGTTGCGTGGCGTGTTTTAGATTTGTGTGTGTGGATGGTGTTAGTTTTTTGTTTTAACTATTGAATCATATATTAATATATATATATATATGTGGCGATAACATGCACGATAACATATTGTTCATTGATGAGAGTATGTTATGGCCAGTACCAAGGCACACCCCAGTAAAGACCAGAAAAGGGCCATAGTCTGTGCGGTCCAGTCTGATGGTCCCTACTTTGGTCTGGACCGCAAGCCCCAAATTTCCGCATGGGTAAAAAGCCGTTTCGCCGTTTCGCTGCCAGGTGTATGCCAAAGCCAAGGAGCTGTTTGAAAAGGACTTATTGGAATATGGCATATCGCATGAAACATGCAAACCTTGCTATCACGAAGCCGGCCTGGAGATGAATTGAATGCGCTGGACGTGCAACGCCCAGCCTTGCAGATTGAAAGACGTCTTTTGCGTGTACAGGCTCGAGTCATCCAGAAAAGGAATCGATCCGGAGCAATCCAGCAACGTGAACATGTTGAAGATGATCCACTGACCCGAAGGGCCAATAGAGAGTTGCTGCAGGAACCAGTTCCCTTTTCGCAAGAAATCGCTATTAGTCTGGAGGCCATAGCTATTGGGTTGGAGGCCATCACTATACTAGGTTGGAGGCCATACCTACTAGATTGGAGGCCATCACTATACTAGGTTGGAGGCCATCGCTATTTGTTTGGAGGCCATCATTACTAGGTTGGAAGCCATCACTATTAGTTTGGAGCCCATCACTACTGGGTTGGAGGCCATCACTACTAGGTTGGGGGCCATGGCTATTTGGTTGGAGGCCATCACTACTAGGTTGGAGGCCATCGCTATCAGGTTGGAGGCCATCACTACCAAAGGTTGGAGGCCATCGCTACTAGGTTGGAGGCCTCACTAATGTAGACTCTTGATTAATCAACCCCCCCCCGGCCCCCCCCCCCTCCCTCAACAACCAGGGCCTCCAATATAATGTATAAGAAAACTAATCAAAGGACCAAAATGAAAAGAATCCTTATTAAAATCTTCTTGGTCTTCTCTGGCAATATTAAAAATAAAAGGGAATCAATGAAATCTCAAATTGAAGACATGTGGAATACTAAAGTAAAAGGAAATCAATAAAGTGGAAGTTGAATTCTCAATATGTTAATGGAAATCTCAATCCAAAGACCTTCAAAAGCATCCAATCTCAAAGGAAATCTTCAACTTTTCAAGAGCTTGGGTAAGTAAAGCAAATCAAAAGGAAAAGAAAGGGAATTAATATTTACTTAAAGCAAAATATGTTTTTTATTGTTTAGGCTTGAAATCTCTAGACATTATTCTAGGGCCCCCCCTAAATAATGTCAGAAAGCTGCTTGCTGGACTACCCCCTTTGCTTGAATGATTTTTTCAATATTTTTGAATAAGGGATTTTGTAAAGAAAGTGTGCACTGACTGTTGGAAACTTTTGGAAAGCTTAAAGACTAAAGAGCTTAGGTAAGTAAAGCAAATCAAAAGGAAAATAAAGGGAATGAACACAAGTGTACTTAAAGCAAAATATGTTTTAAGCTTGAAATCCCAGCAAACTCAAAAGGGAAAAAGTAAACTATAACAAAACCACATATTCTACTACAACTATCCCTGCCAAAAAAGAACATTATTCTTGGGGCCTTTATTAATCAGTGCAGGAAAAAACAACATTATTCTAGGGGGGTTTATTAATCACAGGTCTACATTACTAGGTTGGAGGCCATCGCTATTAGGTTGGAGGCCATCACTACCAAAGGTTGGAGGCCATCGCTATTAGGTTGGAGGCCATCACTACTAGGTTGGAGGCCATCCCTATTAGGTTGGAGGCAGGCCATCGCGTGGTTGGAGGCCATCGCTATTAGTTTAGAGGCCATCGCTATTTGGTTGGAGGCCATCGCTTTTAGATTGGAGGCCATCGCAAGTAGGTTG